TATAGTCTGTCTGCCCCCATTGGAATCTAAATTCCACAAGGGCAGGGACTTTATTTTGCTCACTGCAGTATCCCTCGCTCCTACAATGTCTAGCACTTAGTAGGCCCTCGATAAATATATGTTGCATAAATGAATGAGCAAATACATAATAAAGAATTATTAGTAACTAAGGTCTGTAGTCACATTCCCTTTATGAGATGCTCCGAAAACCAAGCAATACCGAGTTACTGTCATTGTTTTCAGCAGGTGCGTTTAATTTGTATCCCTTTTATTCAACTAAAGCAACCTGCCTGTGAATTAGAGTAGTTTCATCTTGTAAATGTATTTTGATCCTACTGTGTTCTCTGGAAAGTGATCCCTGCTGAGTAGTTATGTCTTTGTGGCTGTGTCACTGACATAGATCATAGGAGCAGCCTTGCTGGGTTCATGGGCCCCTGAGGATGGTCCCTGCAGGCTGATCAGGAGTGCCTGAAAGGAGATGGAGGCAGGGCACCACAAATATTAGGACGCCCCTGAGCTGGGCTCACAAGCCCCTGGAGTAGAAGATGGTCACAGAAAGGAAGCTTCACCAAGGCCTCTAAATTCCTGTGGATGGGCCCCTCCTGGCCACTCCCAGAACCTGGAATCTGAGGCAGCCGATGGCTTGCCTAGCAGGTGGGCGGTATGTAGCAAAGCTCCCTCAGCTTGATGAGGAACCACTTTACTCCAGCCGCAGCTAGTCCATCTGCCTCCCAAATGCTGGCTAGAAGTAGTGTAGACTTGGGTAAGGCTCTCAGGACCCATCGTGCTGTGTGAGAAGCAGCAGAGATGCTGACAGTCTTAATAAGAGGCATCTCTTCTGGGTTGACAAGATTGCAGGTGGGCCTGGCATGGGACCCCTGGGTTTCCCAGCACACAGGCCCACCAGCTGCAGCAGGCAACAGCCCTGGTGCATCTTCCTGAAAGATCTGCTCAAGGGCAAATGAGTCCTTGCTTTGTGCTATGCAGCCACTGCCTTTCCCAAGTTACCACGTGACATTTTAAAATCACTTGCAAACTTAAATCCGGTGAGTGCCTACAGACAACACGCTTAACAGCTCAGAGAATGATTCAGAGGAAGCAATTTTCCCAAGGGAAGATAATCATCTGTTAGTGTGAAAAGGCAAACACTCTTTCATTAGCATTGGAAACTAAAGGGAAATGTTGCTAAATCCACATATGTAGCACTTTAGTAAATGGCTAAAAAACAGTATCTACAGCTAGAAGGAAGGACATGTACAGATTTCACTCCCACTCAGAGTTCACCCACAGAACTAGCTCTCTGGGAGGGAAGGTGGAAGCTCAGCTCTGACCTTGTCCTGTTTACTTAGTGAACAGCTCCTCAAAGTCCTGGTTCCTATGCCCAGAGAGGAAATCCAAGAATTAAGAGCTCCCTGCTCTTCTTTTATCTGCATACTTTTCCCAGGTGACCTTAACCTGGGATAAGTCTCATGTCTTTATTCTGTGGCATTAAAATTTATATTCCAGCCCTGACCTCTCCTGGGGCTTCATATAACCAATTGCCTATTTGAACTCTCTGCTTGGACATCTAACAGGCATCTTGAACCTAGAATGGCCAAGACAGAACTCTCAATCTTCTTCCCTTTTCCAGTGTCATATTGCTGTATAAGAAATAGCTTCAAACCCTAGGAACTTACAACAACAATAATCATTGATTTTGCTCACAACTCTGTAATTTTTGTATGACTGAACAGGGACTGCTCCATGAAGCATCAGCTGGGCAGCTGGAGAATCTGTTTCCAAGATGGCTCACTCATAGTTTTGCTGGCTGTTGCCTGGGAGCTGAGCCCGGCCTGTGGGCGGAGGGACTGCGGTTCCTCTCCATATGGCCTCCCCATAGGCTGCTGTGTGGCTTCCTCAAGGCATGGTGACTGCGCCAAGCGTGAATAATCTAAGGAGAGGAAGTGGAAACTGCTGGTGACTTAAGGCCCGGGCCCGGAAGCTGGGAAAGAATTACTGCTACCATATAATACTGCAAGCAGTCACAGAGCCCAGGTTCAAGGGCAGGGGACAAAGACCCCAACTTTCCGTGAAAGGAACATCAAAGAATTTGCAAACATGTTTTAAAACTGCCACAGGCCAGGCACGGTGGCTCACATCTGTAATCCTAGCACTCTGAGAGGCTGAGGTGGGAGGATCGCTTGAGGCCAGGAGTTTGAGACCAGCCTGAGCAAGAGTGAGACCCCACCTCTACAAAAAATAGAAAAATTAGCCAGGCGTTGGTGGTACGCGCCTGTCGTCCCAGCTACTTGGGAGGCTAAGGCAGGAAGATGGCTGGAGCCCAGCAGTTTGAGGTTGCAGTGAGCTATGATGATGCCACTGCACTCTAGCTTGGGAGACAGAGCAAGACCCTATCTCAAAAAACAAAACAAAACAAAAACAAAAATAACTGCCACATGTCCCAAACGTCCTCTAGTCTTCTCCATCTACTGGTTGCCTAGGCAACTAGGAGTCATCTTTGACTGCTGTCTTTCCCTCACCCCTTTCATCCAAGCCCTATCAGCAAATTCTGTTGATTCTCCTGAAACATGTCCAGAATCCTTCTATGTCTCTCATCTCCACCACTGCCACCCTAACCCGGACAACACCCTCATCTCCCACCTGGATGACTGCTTTTGTTCTGTTGCAATAGCCTGTTAACTGCTCTGCCTCTATGCCTGCTTCCTAAAATCCATTCGTACAGTAGCCAGAACTATCCTTTAAAAATATAAATCAGATCATCTCATTCCTCTGCTTAAATCCATTCGAAAGTGTCACAGCATATTCAGAACTAAACCCAAACCCTTCAATCTGATTCCAAAGCCCAATGTGATCTGGCCCCCATCTGTTTCTCTGGCCTCATCTGGTGCTACTTGCCTTCTCGGTAGACTGCAGTACACACATGTGCTTGCTGTTGCCTGACAGCCTTTGCACTTGGTTTTCCTCTATCTGGAAAGCTCTTCCCCTGATTTTCTCAAGGCTGGTTCCTTCTTGCCATTTAGTTTTCAGTTGAAATATCATTACCCAATAGAGGCCATCTATAATCCCCAAACCTAAAGTAGCCACACAGTCCTCTGTTACATTAACATATTTTAATTTTTAGCATAGTACTTACCACTAGCTGATACTTTTCATGTTAATTTATTTGTTCATTGTCTCTTCCCTCTAAAATGCAAGCTCCATGAGGGCAGGGACCTTGTCTGTCTTATCACCATGTATGCCTAGGGCCTAAAACAGTGCACAGAGCAGATGTTTGCTAAATATTTATTGATTTAGCAGGTAGCAACAGCAGCTCCAAAGAGCCAGCCACCAACAGTGGACAGGAGTAGAGAGGAAGCTCCAGGAAGGTCTCAGAGGCTCGTGCTTGTACCAGCAGCACAGCTCTGGTGCACGGGGCTGCTTCACGGTGACCAGGTTTATGCAGCCTCCTTCCAACCCCCAGAGCATTTCCATCCCTAGCCTTCTTGTGAAATCAGCAAGACAGAATTGCACTGTCATGCGCGTAAGGTTACTAACGCGCTTGGACAGAATGATGCACTCAGCTCACCTCCACATCAGTCCGGTCACTGACTCGGGTTATGTTACATTTGAATTTTCATCTTACAGTTAGACTCAGAAATATAGGTCAAGTTCCAGTGTAACAAATTCCAAGTGCTTGTGTTAATAATATTTTTAAAAATGAAGATGTTCAAACTTTTGAAGAGAAATATGGAAATGGGTATTTAGGACCCATCCAAATAAAGAAGAAAAGTTTAGTTAAGGCTTTAAAAAATTTTGTGTTATTAATAGGTTAAAAAAAAAAACACTGAGGTGAAAAGCATGCTCAATGATAATGAAATAGTCTTTTCTTTTCTTCAAAAATACTTGTTAAACATTTTTTAGTACTTTGGTATAGAGAACTGACTGTATACTGAATTGTTATTGAAATAACAAAATACTATGGTTTTGTGTTCATTCATCAGGGAAATGGCAGCTCGTTTGATAGGATTCTTTTTTATTCACTGTAGTGAGATTTTTGTTTGGGAATTTAAATGTTTAAAAGTTCAATAATATTGAAAATTCAACTTCGAGAAAATGATTGTGGGGCCCCGCTGCGCTGACCCAAAGTGAATGATTGGGTGGCACTTAGAGGCTGGGATTTGTGTAGCTGCTTCGGATGGTGGTGTTAGCATTAGACACCACCCCTAGCGGAAGGCCAACATGGCAAGGTGGGCCTCACCACAGCCCGCCTGGACCGCAGACCCTCTGTGGTGGGAAGCCCACTGGTGGAAGTACAACCCTTGGCAGTACTGACCCAGGGTTGGTGAAACCTCCTTTCATGACAATAGTTGACTCTCATCTACCGAGAAAATCCGATTTGACCTGAATTCTCCAGGCCCTAAGGCATTGCCCAGCAGGGTGTCCAAGGGCCTGCCGGAAGGTGCTAAAAAGGCACTGTGCATTTGCTACAGGGTGGAAGCTGGCAATAAATGTACATGTTTATGTCTCCAGAAGTGCTTAGTTTTTATCTTTTTATTTCTAATTCTTTCTGCTTTAAGTATTTTTTAATGATCACTGCTTAGAACTCAAGCCCCTGGGATCAAACTTATATCACACAGGCTGGTGAAGGCTGTGGAGAAATGGAGTCCTCCCAGGTCTCAGGGTGGGTGGAGGGCACCTGCAGGGCTCCTCCGCAACCCCTTGCCTGTTCTGCCTGATCAGAGCCTGCATGTGCGTGCAGAGGGCTCCCTTAGGGAGGGCCAGAATGGAGGAAGCTGAAGTTTCAGACCAAGCAGCCCCTTCTGTGGCCTCCTTTGCACCACAGAGTCCTTGAGGAGGAGCGAGACGCAAGAAGGGCAGGTGAGTCACCTCGACTGACTAAAGTCCAGCTAAGCCAGCCTTTGCCATATCCAAGACATCAGCCACGGCAATGAGAAGTGGGTGCCACTCAAAGCCATTCTCAGTCTACATCCACAATGCTGGGAAAGAAAAACCAAGTTCAATTTACCAAAATATCTGTATTATCTATAAAAATTGAACTCCAATGAGTCACTGATATGGAGGCAGTGATAACTGACTGTGTGCCAACATGCAGAAGGCAGACAGCTCCGTCCCACCACGCCCACAGCAGAACATTTACACCGAGCAGCATGTGAGCAGAGTCATTTGTAAGGCCTCAAAAACCTGGACACTTTGGAACGTAGCAATCGGATGAAAGATCTTGGAAACATCTCTCGGGACTCCTGGGCTGTGTACTTGAAATAGTTCTGGGGGTGGGCCAGGACATCAAACAGAGCCTTGATCAGTTTCTTATCCTAAAAAGAACAGAATTTTTGTTACTGGGCTGAAATATTTAAGTATTCTGACATTTTGTAACGGAACTATTAATATAATGACCCAATATTAGGCAGTAGGTTGATTAGCTGAAAAACACTTTGTGAAAATTGTTTCCTGTGATTTTTATCTTCTTTCCAGTTTTCATTTTTCCTAATTATCTACAATAAATATGTATTACTTTTATAACTAAAAAGTTAATATGTAAAAAACCATTTTGTTTTCTTCAACCAGATGAATGAAACACTGGGATTTGGGAATATTTATAGGATTAGTGATATAGCATGTGTTTATTGCTAATTACTTATAAGTAGCTAAACTTTGGTGAACTTTAGGCTTGAAGTCTGATAAATAAGCAGCCAATGATTCACAATTATTTGGAATTAATATGAAAACATTATTTGTTACTGGCTTGGATTTGTAAGTAAATTTCCTCCTGCCCCTCCACAAATTTCCAAATTAAAAAATATAACTTCACTTGACACAATAAAGACAGAAATCTGATTCTTTAAAAAACATTAAGTCTGGTGAAGGTATAAAACTGACCTCGGCCCAGGGCAGGCTCGGTGTCTGAAAGGCGGCAATACGGAGCAGGAGGGGAACCTTCTCCCTTAGTGCTTGGGGAGCTCTGTGGGTAACCGTCACGTCCACCTGAGGCACACACTCACCTTAAGTATTTCCTGATGGTTCTCAGAGGCGTAGAGCCTGCCATCTCGAACTATGTCTTCAATGAGTTCCTGGTAGTCCTCTGTTGGAATAAAGGACATATTTTGCATTCCTATGGTTTAGCTATTTCCAAACTCACTTTTTGCTAAGGTCCTGAGAAATGCCCCTTTTGTAGCTGCTATCAGAACACTTACCATTCTGATACTGAGAAGGCAACTGAGAGAACCTCCACAGACTCCCTGACCACCTCCACTCACCCACCAGCATCTACACTAATCTTCCCTGTTCCCACTTCCCTCAGATAAGCCCTCTGTGCATCCAGTCAAGGCCCATTCCTCCACTTGGCACAACCGATCCACTTTCTCTCACCAAAGCAAGGGCATTGGTCCAAGTAATTCTGCTCTTTCTTTCCTACATGATAAAATTTTCTTTCTCTACTGGTCTCTCCCATCAGCATGCAAACATGCTGTTATGTCTCTAATCTTAAAAAATCCCTCCCTTAACCTCATTTTTCCCTCCAGTTTCCATCCCATTTCTCTGATCTTCATTGCAGCAAAAATCCTTGAATTGTCAATACCCACTGTCTCTGATTCTTTTCCTTTCTTTCCTAAAGGCCCCCCCCCCGACCCGGACTCCTCCACAACTGCTTGTTTTTGTTTTTAAGAGATGGGGTCTTGCTCAGTTGCCAAGGCTGGAGTACAGTGGTGTGATAATATCTCACTGTAGCCTCAAACTCCTGGGCTCAAGTGATCTCCTTTCTCAGCCTCCGGAGTAGCTGGGATTGCAGGTGCATGCCACCACACCCAGCTCCCCAAACTGCTTGTTAAGATCAGCAATGACCTTCATGTTGGCAAATCCCAATGGTCAACTTTTGGTCTTCATCTTTCTTGATGCATCAGTAGCATTTGACCTGGCTGATCACCCCTTGTCCTTGATCTAGTTCTTCACTCAGCTTCTTGGAAACCATGCTCTTTGGTTTCCCTCCTACTTTACCCTCTGAGGTTTCTTTGCTTTTCCTTCTCTTTGTGGCTTTCTACTGTAGGAGCATCCCAGGGATGCTTGTCCTCCTCTCTTTGAGAGCACATCCAGGCTTTCCTTTCCCTCTCCCTTCCCTCCAGCTTTTGCTCTCTATCCTTGTATTATGTAAAGCAATCAAGCTTCTTACCCACCAAGCAACACTCTTCTCTCCTTTGTTTGAATGGGACTGCGGGGTGGAGAATGTGGCTGGTTGGGGAGGAAGAAAGCTATGTTTGCTTTCTTATTAATATGTTTTTTGTCCTGACATACACATTAAATGCAGGACATACTGTAATCCTCCTCCAGACATAAATCCTCTCCCCTTTAAAATCTAGCTTATTTCCTACAGTCATAATTCAAATCAAGCATATGCAAAGCACAATCTTTTCCAAATTCCAGACACAGAAAAAAATGCCTCTTTGTATGCATATCATGTGCAAGAAGGCCAAACAGATTGTAAGAACAGCATTGAAACTGTGTAGGAGGAGCTCTTGAAAAGTTTCAGTTAAGAGATGGTAAATGGAAATGAATAGTTTAATAGTCACAATAACTAATTTGATACATTTACAATATCATTGGTATTTTTCTTTAGTCTGGTATCTTTCTTCATACTCTTTTATTTTAGTGGATATAAAATATAAGAAGAGTACAACTTATTTTTGTCTTGAATCCTTCCGCTGCAGCGTCTCTGACTCAGAGAATCAGCTCCTTTTGATAATGGGATGAAGATGTCAGTTGCTGCACTGCATTCTGGTGTAATAGAAAACTGGACAGCTGTTTGCCCCTATTCCAAATGCTTCCAGACTGTTGTCTTTAAAAAAATATTTCCTCTGCTTTTAACAACTACTGTGTCTCCTCACTTGTTCCGACTCACTAGAAATGCAGTAAAGCGTCATAGGTAAGAATCCAGGCTGGAGTCCCAAAACCTGAGTGAATCCCAGCTTTGCAACTTTGTCACAATGTGACCTTAGGCCAGACACTTAAATCTCTAAGCCTGAGTGGCTTCATCTGTAAAATCAGAAAGTAATCGTGTCTATTTCACGGGGTGATTGTGAGGAACGTACCATGTAAAGGCACTTTGGCACATACCCGGTGGTCAGCAATGCTTGATGCACGTCAGTCATGACCACGATTCTCACCATTCTCCAGAAGTCAGGGCGCTAGTCTGTAGCAGCCTCTCATATACCTTCTAAATGTGATTTCTATTCTTCTGGATTGAAAAGCAAACATCAAACTTGTTTCAAAAAAATAGACTTTGAGTGAAGACCTAAGGAGCTTCAGTATGGCCAAAGTAGCAGTTTTCAACTATTTTCTGCTGTGACACATGCAAGACACACTTCTATGGGCCTAACCAGTGTTACGTGTAATTTCCCTCAGTTCAAGCAACAACTCTTTTATTTTATTTATTTATTTTTTTTGAGACAGAGTCTCACTCTGTTGCCCAGGCTAGAGTGCCGTGGCGTCAGCCTAGCTCGCAGCAACCTCAAACTCCTGAGCTCAAGCGATCCTCCTGCCTCAGCCTCCCAGGTAGCTGGGACTACAGGCATGCACCACCATGCCTGGCTAATTTTTTCTATATATTTTTAGCTGTCGTAGAGACGGGGTCTCGCTCTTCCTCAGGCTGGTTTCGAACTCCTGAGCTCAAACAATCCGCCGGCCTCGGCCTCCCAGCATGCTAGGATTACAGGCGTGAGCCACCGCGCCCGGCCGCAACAACTCTTTTAATTAAAAAAAAAAAATTAAGACATTTTCACATGTCACAAAGGCAGAATTGAAAGTGTGGAGCTTTGGTGACATTTATTCTGGAGTCTCAGTGTCTTTTTTTGCTTCCTGCCTCATTCCAGATAGGAGAGGTTGCTGGTTGGTTGCTTTCAGGTCAGTGAGGCTCTCTGTCTCTCTCAGCAGGGCCACGTGGGAGGCATCTGTGTCTACTCCAAGAGGAAGATACTAAGATCCCTGGTCTTAGGAGTTTGACATTATTTCGGGCAACCGTAGGACAAGGGTGACAATCCTAGTTTTTGTTACATGTTAGAAATAACCTGTGTGAAGGGTTTTTAGGAAAGCCTAACACTTTAAAGTGTTTTAGGAAAGGATACTAACATGAAGGATATTATCTTTCCAAACATCTAATTTTGGCACTTGTCTGCCTAAAAAACTTCAAGGCTCCCCATAAAGTTAGGTCTACCCTCCTGGGCTTGGCCCTCAAGGCTCTTCCCAGCATAAACCCACACCTTCTAGTCTCCTCTCTTACTGCCAAGCCCCCTGCACCCCTACCCACAGGCCAAATCAGACTGTTCCTCAGTCCCCATACATGCCAGTTCCTCCATCCTTTGGCTTATGTCATTGACTCTTTCTGAATGTTTTACTTCCCCCAAAACTTACATGTTTTTTTAAGACCCAAATCTCTTGAGACTTTGCTCTATTCCTTCTAAAAGCCCATGCAAAATTAACTGCTGGTCCTTCTTCTGTGCTCACACAGTGCTTTGTACATGTACTATTATAGCATCTATGACAATATATACATATTTGTGTTTCTGTCATTAACCAGGTTGTTAGTGACAATGCCTGGCATAGTAGATGCTCATTAAATAGTTGTTGGATGAATAAATGAATAACTTCATAAACGAACAGATGCCTCTTCCCCCACAAGACTGTGAGGTCTTCTAGGACAAGGTCCAGTTCATGTTATGCTCTTAGTAACCAAGTCTCAGAGCTGAGTAGGGCCCCAGGGCTCAGATGGGCCACCTCTTCATTTGACAGGAAGAAATGAAACCAGAAGTCATCTGATTTGCCCAAGATCACATAGCAAGTCAGTGGCAAAGTCAGGACCATAAAAGTTATGGTCTCTTCTCTTACTGCCTCTGAGGGAGGGTCCTTTTCCCTCCCTCAGAATTCTATATAATAAAAGCCACAATCATAAGATGTTAATATTTACTGAGCAATTACTATTAATATATGCTGGGCACTGCATCAAGGCCTTCAGGAACTCTCATTGAACTTGCACGTGAAGTCTAATGATCATCTTCATTTACACGTTAAGAACACAAGGCTTAGGAATGGTAAATAACATACACAAAATCATGGAAGAGATTACAGCCAGGCCATCTGATTCCAGTGCCCATGTTCTTATCCACCAAGCTACGCTCACTTTTAGTATATTTTCTAAAACGTCTTTTCATCCTAGTCAGTGTCCCCAAATGCCTGTTTAAAATTTGGCACTCGTGAGTCAGCAATGTCCTTTCCCCTCATCCTGCCTGCCTTTCTGAGCATGTGTGCTTGTCAGCAATCTGCCAGCTGGCTCAGAAGTTGCTTCTGTTCAAAGCAGAGAAGCTCCTTCCACTTGCCGCAGGCTAAGCTTCACAGCGCTTACCATCATATGTCACGTATGGGACCTGGAACCCTCTGGCACTGTTCCCTTCATTGGACTTAAACTGAATCCACAGCTTCTTTGACCTGGAGGTGAAGGCGATGGGGCGTTCGTAGGTCTGACAGGTTTCATATGTCGTCACAGAATTGGACGAAGCTGCCAAGGGAAGTTGGGAGGGGGTGGGGTTCAAGACTCATCACTAATCAGACAATGAACGTGTATCTTTCTAAACACTCAAACCTTAAACAAGCTACACTCAAGAGCTCCTCAGGCCCAGCTGAGCCATCGTAACAGTCCAAAGTCCAGGAGAGAGAGTAGATTCAGCTGGTGATTGTGGGCCCCCAGGGAAGGCTAAGCCTGGAAGGCCCCTGGAGAGGCAAACAGCAGCAGCCCAAGCTATGGCATTCACTTAGGAGCTGAGGAGAGGGCCTCAAATTCCAGAGCTGACCTGCTGTTATCTAATAATAATTAGAAAAGCCATTTACTACATGCTTCCTAAGACCAGACATGTGCTAAGCATTTCATGGGCTTTATCTCATTTAATTCTCTGAAAATCACAAGAAGTTGGTGCAATTGTCACCTCTTCTATAGAGAGATTAAGTACTTGCCCAGGATCGCACAGCCAGTATGTGGTGAAGTCAGGATTTAAACCTACACCTGACGTCAGACATTTTAACTATTAATAAGAATAGCAAACATTTATATAACGGCTCCATGCGTCATTATTATTCTAACTGTTTTTACAAATATGAACTCCTTTAGCCCTCACAATGACCCTATGAGGTAGCAACTTTTATTATTCCCATTTTAACAGATGAGGAGACTGAAGTGCAGAAAGATCCAGAATGTATGCCCGAGATCACAGAGCCAACAGGGGTGGAGCTGGGATTGAGGTCCAGGCAGTCTGGCTGCGGAACCCACTCATCACACTGACCCTACGCTGCGTTAACAGCAGCGTCCCTTTGTGGACACTGGGCCATGAGTCAGGATAGAGGACAGGTCCCCTCCTGGCTGGGCCATGCCCTTGGCCTTTGTCAGCCCTCAAGCCATGAGTTGCTACCCAGGGTGAGGTCAGCGCTCCATGATCCTCATTGGCTTTCTGTGTCCTTATGAAAGAGGGTCCAGCACACCCAGGGAGCACAGAGGGGAAGACTGACTTGCAGGGTCACTACCTCTGGGGCTCAACGAGAGGACTCAGTGTGTGGTTTTAGTCTAAGTTTTGTTTCTCAGCAAACTCTGTAAACTCACGTCCCATCTCTGTTCTAACATGGAAGTGACGTGCTAGGCCTGCTCCTCACATTTAAAGCCTGAGGAGCGGGTCATCAGTCTTCCCAGCTGGCCTTAGCAGGGGAGGGAAGCAGAGAGTGAGACGCACAGGTTTTCCGCATCACCAGGTAGTCTCCACAGTCGTCCTCTATGGGCAGGAAGATCTCGGGGACCACGATCAAGATGCGGCGCTTAGGGGGTGGGTTGATGGTCCACGTACACTCGGTGTTGGCTGGGTAATTGCCTGGGTAGTTTGGGGATTCGATGTATCCAGTGAAATCTCCCAGCTCCCCTCCACATCTTCTGTCTGGAAAAGGAAATGGCATGAGTTACGAAGGCACAACGCTGTTGTCTCTCTGTCACGGCCGCCACTAGCTTGGCTGAGAACCGCAGCATCCCTGTTGCCATTGAGGAGCGGGGCATAGAAGTGACGCCATCTGGGAATGAGTCTGTCCTACAATGCCCAGGGCCCCCTTCGGGAGCCAAACCATGAACCCCCCATGAGGAGTCCACCCCTGAGTGCCTGAGGCACTATTTTCTCATTAGCCTGAAGGCGCTCACGGTCAGGGGCAGGCGTTTGTGAACAAAAGGATAAATCTAGCTTTCAGTATTTTGTCTACAAAGTCCGAGTGCCAGGGGAACCCACGACGCAGAACTTCCAGGTCCATTGAAATAGGAGAACAGAGCTTATTGCTCAGTGAAGAGTATTTGACATTTTCTTAGAGAATTTTGATGAAGATAAGACAGACATCTTTTCACTTTTCTCTCTGGTTAAGAACAATATTTTAATTTTAAGGGAGTAAGAAATTCCAGTTACCTATCTGTGGGTACGGGGCACGCTGGACACTCGCCTCTGGCGCCAAAGGCAAAGACTGCACGCGCATGCTCACGTGCGGGCACGCCCTCTCCGACCCCACCTCGCCATTCATCGCAGCCCCACGCACCCCAGAAATGTTACCCAGAGCTCTGGGGGCTCAGAAGCGAGAGAGACACAGTCCTGGCTCTCAGGGAGCTTATTATTTAATACTCTCAGGTAAACCTGTGCAAGGGAAGATGCGGAAGGGATTGCTTTTTTCCTCTTTAATTATAACTGGGATTTATTACTACTAGCAGAAAAAAATAAAGAGGTTTTTCTTCTTGAACGAAAAGAGGGGAAGGGAGAACTGTGGAGTGGAGAACTGCCTTCAAGCCTGAAGGGCTACCCTAGGATCTCGGCCATGTGGCTCCTAAGGGCCACCCAAGGGCCAGGTGGTGAGAAGACAAGGAAGCACATTCATCTTGGTATGAGGAAGAATTTTCTCTCTTATTTATTTATTCATTTTTATTTCCGCATATTATGGGGGTACAAATGTTTAGGTTACGTTGCCCTTGCCCTCCCTCCCCCCCTAGTCAGAGCTTCAAGCATGTCCATCCCCCAGATGGTGCGCATCGCACTCATTATGTATGTATATACCCGTCCCCTCCTCCACCCCATCTGCCCGACGCCCGATAAATGTTAGGAAGAATTTTCTAACACCGTGAACTTCCCCAAAGTCTCATTTACCAACAGACTAGGAGATGAGAGGTAGTGAGCTTCTTGTCACTGCAGGTATTCAAGAAGAGACTACATGGCTACTTATAAAGATATTGTTAAAAGGACTTCATTGGGATAGAGAGAAAACTAGATAACCTTCCAATCATAATATTTAAATGGTTCAGTGTCTCCCTCAATCCCAAGCATCTCCAGTTTGGGGAGGCCTCCTTGCCCCTCAGGATTGCTGTCTTAAAGACACTGAATTAGCTGTTTACTTTTGGCCTTTACTAACAAATTTTGATTATAATTTTGGTTATAAATAATGGTTTAAAAAAACCCAAACAGCGAGTCCTTAAATGTTATTTTCTTCTCCCTTCCTGAAAAACACAGATGAATCTCCTTAGTATGGCATTCGAGGCTTCCCCTCCTGGTCTGCCTGAGACTCCCTTCAGCACATTCTTTGCTGAGGTCCAGGGGCCTCTTCCCCAAAGGTCTTTTGCTTTCCTGAGTCTGTGCTCCCCCCGGCTGCTCTCTCAGGCATAAAGCTCTTTCTCCTGCTCTTCCTCCACCCTCTCCATCAAAACTTTCTCACACCCATCAGAAGCCTTTCCCCGTCTCTCCAGACTGAGTCAATTGCTCCTTCCTCTGCAATCCCACAGTCAGCGATGCTGACTTATCCTGCTTGGCATCAACCGAGTTCCCAGCAGAGTGCCTGGCACATAACAAGTCCTCAAACAATGCACGCTGAGCAAAGCTGGACTGAAATTATGTACCAGGGAGGAAATCAAGGCAAGTACAGCTTGTGAATGAGCCCTGAGAAGTATCCAGGATCAACATAACGGTGAGTAGCTCTGTAGGATCAAGCCGGGCTCTCCCTCCATGCTGATCTGCATGGCTGTGAGCTAGGCTAATGCCTATGGGGTTCTGAATGAACCTGGGATCCCTGCCCCCCTACCCCCTGCCCTGAGTTGGACCCAGACACTTGCCCTCTTAATTAAGACTGTGAGAAGCCTTAGAGGGAGACCTACTTTTACACTGGGTTATGTTTGTGGAGCCGTCAAAGTCAGTTGTAGTATTTCCTGGGCAGGAAACACAATTATTTTTTCCAAATTCTGGCTGGTATGTCCCCGCTGGGCAACGAATGCATCGGTGAGTGGTGGTGTTGTAGAAATGTCCAGGTGAACACTGAACTGTGGGGTCAGGGGAGGGTGAAAAGAACGGAAAAAAAAATTGTGTCAAATGCAGCACAAATGGTTTCAAAATTTGTGAAATAAACTATGCCCAAATGAGGTAGGGCTTTCCTACCAATCTGGGGCTAATCAACACTTAATACCCTAAATAGCCTGTTTGAGTGGGACTCGTGACACTGAGAAAAATAAAAAGGAACAAGATATGCGTTTATCTTCGAAGAGTTTATAGTTCACACAGAGTCAGGCATCAACGATCACAACTCAAGTCTTCATGCAGGGCACGTTCGTGAGTATTGAGTGGGTACAGAACCGAGGTTGGGTGTCGAGTTGGGCTCCCCGGGAAGAGGCAGGGAGTGTGGTCTGGAGAAGAGGTATAGGAGGGGGAAGCTCTAGGTCAGGGCACTGAGACGGAGGAGGGCTGGAGGGAAGGAGCGAGGGAGCCTCTGTACACAACTGGCTCATTAGTGCCTGATCACCCCTTGTCAGTCCTGTTTGAAGGGGCCGAGGCAGCTGGAGGAGACCTTGTCCAGGGATTCCGGTGCTCCCTGCACATCCTGCAGGGGTGGATGGAGCTGGGGACCTAAACCCCAGCCACTGGGCCCCCACATAGTGCACCTCTGGGCTGGGCTTGATTAGAGCTTCACTAGACTCCCGTGGTACTTAAAAGGGAAATTTAGTTCCAGAGAAAGGCAAGCTGCCAAGGGCTCACCTCTGGTTTCACAGTCCTGGAAGGAAGTAGCTCCCTGATGTTTGGTGGGGAGGCTTCCTCCACAGGGGAAGCAGGAAGTTCGGCCAGGTTCGGGCTGGAATGTGCCCAGGGCACAGAGCTGGCAAGGTGCAAAGCCATCTGCTGAATATTCACCAGGTTGGCACAGACCTGGGGGGACAATGGCCCTAGGTGAGCAAGGCCCCCCAGGCAGATCCTTTCCCACCACTCTCCAGATGAGAGCCAACGATGAACCCAACACGGTCTCTGCTCATAGGAAGCCCAAGTGAGTATGCATCCTCCGGGGCCCTTGAGATGTCACTTGTGCCTGCTGTCTAAACAATGACATCGGAGATGGGAGAAGTAGGAAGGGACAGAGAGCATCCTTACCTCCACATTCAGACACATTCCAAGCTTCTGGGGTCTTCAGGGTCCCAGGATTTTCTGGTCTTGGGCATGGTTCACAAGTGATTTGTCCTTCCTCGTTTTGGAAGGTTCCGTTTGGACAAAAAATGCAGCGTTCTTGTGCTCCATCGTAATACGTCCCAGCCCTGCAACTGACTAGCCAAAGGGGAAAATGATCTGGTCAGTGTGGGGACAGAGGCTGAGGAAGGATGATGTGAGTTCTAGAGATGAAGGTAAACGATGGCATTGACCACACTCTCCCCCATGCAGACTCCCTGAATACAAAGTGTGCACACTTCTGCACGCCATGATCCCTATCGCCTCTGTTGGACGTGTTTACAGGTCTGCCACTCCTTAGCCCACGAGCTCCTTGGGGGAAGGGATCATAGGCATCCTAATTATTTTTCTAGCTCAAGTACCTGATGGTTGAAGAGATATAAAAAATCCTGGCTCTCCCTACTTCACAGGGCTGTCAGAAGGATTATAACAGTGAAGATCATTCATTGAACATAGGTCTAGTGCTGGAAGCAATGAGAGGAGAGTGCTATTAATTCTGCCTGGTGGCAATCCATAAGGCTTCCAAGAGGATCTCACATTTGTGTCAAGCCTTGAAGGATGAATAGGATCTCCCGAGGTGGGAAAGGAGGCAGGTTGTAAAGATTCATACATGAAATATGGAAGGAGAGAGAAGAAAGAAAGGTTGGGGATAGACTGAAAAAGTTCTTGAGTGCCAGGCATTTGGATTTATTCTGCAGGTAAAGGATCCATCAAAAGGAGAGGAGCCAGGCGCAGTGGCGCATGCCTGTAGTCCCAGCAAATCGGGAGGCTGAGGTGGAAGGACTGCTTGAGCCCAGGAGTTCGAGGGCAGCCTGGGCAATACAGTGAGACCCTGTATCTAAAAAGAGAGAGAGAAAGAGAGAAAGGAGGGCAATATGACCAGAAGCTGTGCTTTGAAAAGCTGTCTCTGGTGGCTGGGTGGGGTGACTGGTGATCTCAAGAGTCTTACAAAATAGCACACTTCACATTTGTAATAAAATTAAAATGACAAAGAATAAACCCTGGTAAATGTCTCCTGAAAGATAAATAATAAAGAAATTCATAAACTGTGTGTGCTTCTGATTATATTTCTGGTGTTGTTAGTTAAATGTGGATTTATACCTTATTTTAGGGTATGAATAGGAAGTAAATGTATATTCAAACCTCATCTTCATAGCCACCAAAGTAGCCTTTCTAATTATAACTACTAACATTTGTTGAGTAGTTATAATACACTAGGCACCATGCCACAAACTTCACATACATTATTTCATTTATTTCTCAATATGACCCTAAGGATCTCTAGCTGTTATTAATAGCTCCATTTTCAGAAACAGAGACTTACAGAGGTTAATAATTTGGCCAAGTTCCCACAGCTAATTTGTGAAATACACCTGTGGTAAAATCAAGAACTTTTAGTTTAAGAAGGAAAAAGATTACTTAATAGAAGTGCAGACTTAAGCATAACTCAAGACTTTGCCAAGGATTCTCTATGGGGCTAGGAGAGTTTGATTGGAAAAAACACATTCTCTTTTATACTTAAGTTGCCAAGAAATAGAAAAAAAAAAATCACACAATAAAGTTAACTATTGTATATCTCAAATGTCTGTAAGGGGGCGAAATCTGTTTTCATTCCATTCTGTTATAGAAATGCAATTTGCATATATAATTCTTAGGGTTAAACATGGCAAAGTTTTCTGTCACTAGCAATAAAAATGTCTTTCCATTATCCATTCCATAATCCAAAAAAAAAAAAAATGAGGCTTTTGGATCATAGTAAGCCAAGATATGATACATTTCAAATATTATTTCTACAATTAAATGTAACCAGCCAAGAAAGTCTACCCTAATATCTTTTCTTTTTTTTGGTAGAAAAAGGATCTCACTATATTGCTCAGGCTGGTCTCGAACTCCTGAACACAAGCAATCCTCCCACCTCAGCCTCCCAAAATGCTAGGATTACAGGCATGAGCCACCACGCCTGGCCAAATATCTAAATCTTAATACTTTTTTATATTGTTTGGATTTTCTTTTATAATATTCGTGTATCATTTTAATACAATTTTAGATTTAAAAAAATTTAAAAATTAAAAGTGAACCAACTCTTGCTTTCTTGGCAAACATTATAATGAGTATGATACATAAATTTGTGGCAAACAGTCTATAATTCCAGACATTTTCCTCTAAATGCAGCCCTACTGGATAATGGTTTCCATAATCACTCTGGTTCCAGCCCATCTCCCAGCAAAAGCTGGGCTGAATTAGGTACTAGTAGTTCACCACGTTTTTATTTTACTCTGTGTCCCATCTGACTATCCCAGTGTCTATAGCAGGCCAGTAAATAAGAGAATAATTCTTCGTGGCTCCAACAAGCTGACCTGTCATGAAGACTGGCAGAAAGTAAATAAAACCAAGGCTGCCCACAGCCCCCTCTGCTCAAGCTGTTTCCATTTTGGGAAGAGTTGCTTTTATAACACTCATTCACCTATAGGGAGAGTGCCCATATGGTGACAATGATTCCAACAGCCCCATTAATCGTAACAGAGTCAGATCAGCACCGTCTGTGGCAGAAGACGGATCCCCTGTGCGTGTGGACAAAACCAGACCTGGTTCTCAGTGAACCGAGTAACTGGATGGGCTCCTGCTGCTGTCTGGGTGTCAACTCCTCCTTAGAACTATTTAACCCCCAAAGCCTTTTCAAGGTTACATTTTGAGAGGCCTTACAATATCCCACATCTGTTGCGATTTCTTAACTGATCAAAGGGCTGAGAAATGCCCCTCGGGCTGCCCTGTGGAAAAGAGGGCACCAGTTCTTTTTCCTGCCAGTGAAAGGCCCGCTTCACATAAACACACTCACATTGTCAGTCACAATTTCCATTTTCCTTCCGGAGAGAAAGACCTACAGAAATAATTCATGCCAAGCACCTTCCAAATAGATTTGTTTCTTTCACAAGGTGAAAATGAGCTAAACACTAAACAGTGACTGAAATGTCAAGAAGGAATGCTTGAAAGCAGCTCTTTGCAAATGCGCTGAAGATCTGGCCTGCAGAGACCCCAATCACACGTTCCAGTTGCTTCTCTCTTCTTGAGCAACCAGCTTGTTTTGCTACCCCAGACAAAGGAGTCAATTGCCCCCAAAACACTTGACTATCACAGCGAAGCTTTTGTGTGTCTTCAGTGACCATTAAAATCCCATTCTCAAATCCCACACAGCTGTTTTCTCTCCCTCTTAAGAAAAAAATACGAGAAAGCTTTTCTGATGCAAAAGGGAGAGACCAGCAGGATGAGGATTAATGGCGACAAGAGGCCTCAAGGCCCGGCCTCTTTTCAGCACTGTGGCCTTTGAGCATTTCAGGCTATGGACAAACACTATGGTCTCTCTGTGGCTAAGATGGTGAACCTAATAAAAGGGGTCACTCTCTAGCATTTCACTGCTTTCTTAAGGATCACGCCTTGACTTCTGAAGAAGAGCCACAAGCAGCCCACGCGGATTCCCAGGGTGTCCCGGGTCGCTGTTTTGTCCCAGCTCAGAGGCGATGGCACCCCAGGCAGTGCTGTGGCTTCAGGATCCTGGTTTGAACTCCCTTTATATGAGTGCCCCAGGATAACGGGGCAGGGCCTCCTTGGGCTGAGAGATTGATTTTTCTTTGGCCAGGTTTTTGGTGTGTGCTCAGGTTTGCTACTTGAAAACATTCGTATAGTTGGGGCAGAGAAATGAGCCCAGCTTGTTGCCTTCCTTGTTGGGTTCCCAAATGCACGCTATGTTCTTTTCATGCCTAGTTAACTGGAGCTGAAATTTCACTTCCTTTAGACTGTTTCTTTTGCTCTCAATTTAAATTTTTCCCCAAAGATTTTCCCTTTGCCCTCTTTTCTCATAATGTTATCAACTATCCTTGGGATTTCATCTGTTGTCCCATGAAGATGTATTTACTTATTCATTCAATAAATGCTTATTGAACACTGATTATGTGTTAAGTACTGTTCTAGGAGCTAGAGATATAGCAGAGAAGACGACAGAAATGGTGAACAGAACTAATGCGGTTCTCATTCTAGCAGAGAATATGGATAATAAATGAGCAAAGGAATAAATATATAACAGAATGCCAAGCAGTGGTATGATAAAGAAAAGGAAAACAGGGTAAGGGGTCAAAGAGGGTAGGGGTGGGGTGTGTATGTATGCTATTTTAGAAGTGTGGTCACGAAAGGCCTCCCTGAACAGAGACCAGAATAAAATGAGGGAAATAGCCTCACAATGGGATTGCCTAATAGTAAGAAGGCCAGTGTAGTAGGAAAGTAGCGAAAGCAGTAAGAGATGAATTTTAAAAAGCAAACAAGGCCCAGATTGTGTGGGTGCTGGAAAGCCATGGTAAGGAAACCAGGCCTTACTCAAAGTGTGTTGGGAGTTTTGAATGAGGGCAGTTTTAAATGGGGCAGTAGCACAATATGATTTATGTTTATATTAATAAAACAGGCCAGGCACAGTGGCTCATGCCTGTAATCCCTGCACCTTGGGAGGCCGAGGTGGGAGGATCACTTGAGCCCAGGAGTTTGAGGCTGCAGTGAGCTATGATGACACCACTGCACACCAGCCTGGGTGGCAGAGTGAGACCCTATTAAGAAGAGAAGGAAGGGAAGGGAAAGATGTTCTGGCTGCCATGTGGAGAACAAACTGAGGGCGGGCAAGGCTAAGGAGAACAATTCAGAGCCTATCACAATAGACTGAGCAGGAGATGCTGGTGGTTTGGAGCAGAGCAGTAATAATGGAGGGAGAGAAAAGTGGTTGGATTCAGGAAATAATCTGAAGGCAGAGCTGACAGGAGTTGCTCATGGACTAGATGAGGAGCGTGACCCAGAGAGAGAGGTCAACATGACTCTGAGGTTTTTGACTTGAGCAATTGGGTAAATAGAGGGGCCATTTACTGAGGTTTGAGTTGGGAGGGAGGGAGGAGGATAAAAGCTTTGGAAACGCGGAGCTGAGATGCATGTTGGCCATGCAAGCATTGACACTGAGAAGACACTGGTTACCTAGTGGCCTCTGAGGTAGAATACTACACCTCAGGGGTTTACAAGACAATCCAGGGAGTGTGGGAAGAACATTTTCATATCTATGTACATTAATT